AAAGGCAGGGGGCCAAAATGGTTTCTGGGAACAATAAATTTAGTGTTTTGAAAGAACAGCAAATAGGCCCTTTTTAAAATTATTGTGGTTAAGAAGGCTAGAAAGATTGGATCCAGAAGGCTTCAAGAACCCAGTAAGAAGTTTAGGCTTTATCCTGTTGGTAAAACTGAGTTTTTTCAGTTTTGTTGTTAATTCATTTTAATAGCAGAGTAAAGTAAGAATTGTCCAGCTCTGTGAAGAATGGATTGAAAAGAGGAAAAGAAACACTTATTTCAAATTCTGTTAAAACAAGTAAGGAAAATATTAATGACCCAAGTGTAATTTGTGACTGCTTACAGAGAAGAAACAAGTCTATCTATAATTGATCCAGTTTCGCACAATGGGTTAAATGGTGGAGGCAGGAAAGTTTGAAGAGTCATTGTCACATTTGCAATCTGACAGTACAACTGGGGAAGCCAGAAGGAGTAAGTTTAGGGAGCAAGTTAAACACAGTTTGTATCTCATTGACCTAGAAGTTGGATGCATCTACATGGAAAAAGTAGTCAGAAAATTTGGGCTGGAAATACCTGGGGCACATTGAGAATTTTGAGTAAAAATAAAAACAAAAGTGACTTTTTTTTTTTTTTTTTTGAGAGATTTTCACTGTAGGGCGCGTGCGCTCGCCAGACAGACAGAGAGAGACATAGAGACAGAAAGCGAGAAATCACCCCCCAGGGGGGATGGTCATGCCGCAATCCCTTCTCCTCCATTCTCCTCTCGGGATCTTGGGCACGCACGCACACGCGCCCGGCGTGAGTTTTAAGCCACCGGGTCCGGGACACGAACCGCGGTCGACTAGGTGGGAGTCCAGCGACATAGCCATTACGCTAACTGCTGGTTCCCAAAAGTGACTATTTTTTAAAAATTATTTTATTTAGCTTTACTTATTTATTTAATTTTACCAGAGAGGGACAGAACAAGAGAGAGGAAAGTCAGAAAGCAAGCCACCAGGTCCAGGACTTGAACCGTTGTGGGAGTCCAGCGCCCTAACCACCACACCACCTGCTGGCCCAAATAGTTACTATTAATGATGTGTTTTCTTTTGCTAAGCACTGGTTTTTATATATAGAAACTCATTTAAGTCACATAACGGTTTTGTAAAACAAATACCATCATCCTCCATTTGATATAAATTAAGGAAAGCAGAAAGCAGGATATACCTTACGTATTAACAGTAAAAGATGCAGACATAGATTTAAGGAAGTAAAACCAAGACTGAAAGATTGGTCCACTGTAGACTGGCTTTCTCTGCCTCATTTTCCACACCTGCAGACTGTGTAACCCTGCTGTGCAGTAGGCTGTTGTGAGAATAAATGAGGAAAGATGTTGAAATGCTGTGTTCTTTGAGACAAAGGGAGCTGAATGGATTTGAGAGGGTATTCACGGTAAGCAGCTGTGAAGGGATGTTGTTTCTGTTGGAATTCATCAGTCTCAGTGAAGAAGCAGGTGAGGGGTTATTGTGACACCTCAAGTTCTTTGCTCCCTCAGTGATGGTGACCTACTAGGAAGAGACCTGTTTGGAGGTCATCATCTTGGTTCACGGTCTGGGGTACCACTGACCCTCTGTGTCATCTTAAGCACATCTTTCTTTTTCATCATTAAGGAAAAGATTCAGTGAGTTGTTCTCATTCTTTATTTCTCTGTGAGAGGGCAGTATTTTACATGCTCAACACAGGTGGACCTTCATTTTGATGAGCCTTCTTTTTTTTATTTTTATTTTAAAAAGGAAAGCAAATAGTGCTGCTGGCTTTTTGGGCCATGGGAGAGGCAGGCATCTGAGTTAATTTAATCAGCCACTTAGGGCCAGTTTTGTAGGGAGAGCAAGATCTCACATAGCCAACTGGTTTAGATCCTCTCCTACAGCTTGATAAACATGGAGTGCATGAATGCATGCCCAGAATTCTGACAGGATGGAGAAAATGAGGAAAAAAGCATTGTGGTGTGACTAGACGTCCATTGGGTGCATGGGCCCACACCAGAATCAATCAATCTGCAAATCACATCAACCAGCAAAATCAGTCAACCTTGTAAAGATATTTTAAGGGATTTGATAAGAAAGTAAATAGAGATAACCTCATCTGTAAAATATTTTAAGCTTTTTAAAAAAATCAAGTATTGGGACCAGCTGGTGGTGTGGTTGTTAAGGCAGCTAGATCCTATGTGGCTGACCGCACAGTTAGAGTCCACGGACCTATTGGCTTGAAAAACATGGTGGGCACATGCATGCCCAAAATTCCAAGAGAAGAATGGAGGAAGAGGGATTGAGGTGTGGCCCCCAAGAGGGCGTTTTCTCATTCCCATCCTGCTCTGGT